TTTAGGGGTTTGGAGTTTAAAGGTTTAGGGCCTTTAGGGGTTTAGGGGTTTAGGATCTTAGGGGTTCAGGGTTTGGGCTTCTGGGCTTAGGATTCAGGTTTTAGGAATCAGGACGTGGAGTATAGGAATCAGGATTTAGAGAATAGGAATCAGGATTTAGAGCATAGCAACCTCCAGCCCTCGTTCAACTAGAGCTTGGGCAGTTTGGGCTAAGGGATGTCGGAGATATGGCTGCTGGGGGGTGTGGTATGAGGTTTGGGACTCGGGATGTGGGGTTCAGGGTTTAGGGCTTCAGGTTCGGATGGGCTTTTTTGCACGGGAATATGAGGGTTCGAGCTGGACGGCTGAGAGGGGTCTGGACTACGGCTCGAGGTTTCTGTTCCTATGTGCAGCGATGTCATACGCATAAACAGAGGCAACGAAGGACAGTGCATTCTATGGTCCGAATAGAACTGAACTAACTGCAGCTGCTATGTCACTACTCTGAAAACAAAAAAAAAGTCCAAGCCCCATCGAATAAGTGCCTGCCTGAAGCGACAGATGACTTGTGCGTCTCAGGCATGTTCAGCTAAGCTTTGAGCAGAACAGCCAAAACAACTGGGAATCATGTCGTTTTGGGCATACGGTACTACAAAGACTATACCTATGTGGTGTCTGTTGGGGATAGTCTTGTTGCTTATTCCGGCGCGTAAATCACACTAGAGCCGAAAACCTGAACCACCCCCCGTCAGCACCTCAGGCGGGTCTGCTTTCGCTTCAGAAGGCTCTCCTGCAATTGCGAAGATGGGTTGCTGATGTAAACCCTGCATTAATTACCTTAATGACCCTAAACAGCGGGAGTTATGCTATGTTCCTTATTAGAGGTACTGCAGGATTTATATCATCAACCGTAGGGGCCTTAATGATTAGAATAGGGCTTTGGGGTGAATTGTAATCGGTACATTACTAAGGGGATAGTTATTAACAATTCCAAACCTCTACATTGCCCAGGCATCGTGTGAGACTCCCACCAGCCGTGGGCACCAACTTTCTCTGAAGGTTTCCTACAAATGTATTATAAAGGCTCTAAGACATCACTTTCCAAGATTGCTCAAACTGCTCTCCAGCCCGGAACAAGATTTCTCAGCAGCAGTGCCTTCCAGGGTGTAAGGTGCAGGGGCTGAGGCTTTAGACGATAAACGCTGGTGGCTTTGCATCCTTGTGTTTTGGCGGGTTTTGCAGGTCCCGTATAAACGAAAACCTCTGGTGTTGATATTCTGCAACAGGTTGGGGCTCCATGACCCACCTGTGCTTCTGTCTAACATTAGAGAAGCCTCTGGATCCTTACTTAGAGCAAGAATGCCGCAATTTTGGATCTGCATGAAGGTCCCTGATATTCTGGCACTCCCGTACATTATGCTGGGCAACAGATCCCCAGCCACGAGAATGAGCCGAACGAGGGCAAGCGATATTAAACTCACTCCTCGTGGCCACGGATGTAATGCTTTAGAGCTTAAACTCGTGGGTTTGGAGTGTAATGAACTAGGGGTGAGCTATCAACCTTGATGTAAACACCCTCACACACAGAAAAGAACACGGAAGAAGAAGGCCACAACAAGAGACTCTTTTACAGTTGATGGTTTAGGTGCCACAACTTGGTTCGAGCAGAGCCTGACCCGCAGAGCCCGGCCTTCCACCACGGCAGCCGCCTCCTCTGTTGACCGGGACATCCGTGCCGCAACGCCCGCCTGCTGGCATCCGGCGTCAGTTTTGGGGCGTATGGTAAGTCAAAGGGCTTATGGCAAAAGTATTTCGGACATAGAGATCACAAAGATTTAGAGCATTGTCTTCGATGCATGATTTGGTTGTATGTCCTACCCTTTGCACTGTACATAGTTGCTGTACGAAGCAATCTCAGAGACTAGATGCGGTGCAAAAAACGGTGCTGACACAAGGACTGGGTATACGAGGCTGTGCAGCATGCTCTTCCAATCTCTGTCTGTACCTGCCCAGCCAGACTCTTTGGGATTGACCTTTGTACTGCAACCCAGTGTCTGTTTACTTCTACCATTACTCTTAGGTTTGTGTAGATATCGGATCTGCGCTCAGTCTGTAGGGAGCCCTGAACCCTCACCTAAGGTACCGAAACCCTAAACCCCAAACCCTAACGGGGCTGCAGGGTGTAGGGACTGGATAGCTCAATTCTGGCATCAAACCGTAACGCCCGTTCATGGAAAGGGTTTGCAGGGGGGGCTCCAAGGGGGGGTAGATAACCTGCAAATCCCTAGCTCTCCCTACTGGTAGTGCTCCCTAAGGTTCCCTGAAGCTTCCCTAAGTATCCCTTGTACCCTCCCTTGAACCACCCTTCCTTAAGGACCCTATAACTTAAGCCTCAACTCCAAACATAGGCCCGAAACCCTGAACCCGAAACACTTCAGTCCTTCCGGGGGTTGCGGCTTGAGTTTTCAAGATCCGGGTTTAGGGCTTAGGGGTTTAGAGTTTAGGGGCTTGGGGGATTTGGGTTTAGCGGTTTAGGGTTTAGGGTCTATAGGGGTTCAGTTCAGGGGTTTAGGGTTTAGATTTGGGGCTCCAGGGCGCAAGCTTGCAAGTTCAACGGCGTACTAGAGCTGGAGTTACAGGTGCTGCCGGTATGCACTCGCCTCTCAACCCTCTTCCTAAAACCTAAACCTTGTTCCTAAACCCTAAACCCTATTCCTAAAACTTATTCTCCAACCCTATAAACCCTATTGCTAAACCCTTAGCCTTATTCCCACACCCTAAACCCTATTCTTAAACCCTAAAACCTATTCCTACCCCCTAAACCCTATGCCTTAATTAAACCCTATTCCTACACCTTAAACCCTACATATTCCTAAACCCTAGGCACGAAAAAGTCGCAAGGGTGTCAGGGCTATGGGGCTTTATAGGATCCTTAAGGGAGGGTGGTTCAAGGGGGGAGGGTATAAGGAATCCTTAGGGGACTGTAAGGGAACCTTAGGGAGTACTAGGGAGACTTAGGGATCACTAGGCTATATACCCCCCTTGGACCCCCCTCCCTTAAGGATACTACATAATATGACTTAAGGGGTTAACAAGAATATTAACATGGGGACTAGTAATTGTATCTTTTTTGTATCCTTTTTCTTATAATATAGCTTAAGGGGGTCTTTTAAGGGCGGCTAAGTCAGAGGCGCCGGAGCAAAAAACCCTAAACCCTAAACCCTAAACCCCTAAACCCTAAACCCCTAAACCCTAAACCCCTAAACCCTAAACCCCTAAACCTCTCTACCTATAGTAATTTAAACCCAAATGACTTCGTGGTCTTTGGATCAAAACTCGTGGTCTTTGGATCAAAACTCGTGGTCTTTGGATCAAAACTCGTGGTTTTGGATCAAAACTCGTGGCCCATGGATCAAAACTCGTGGTTTTGGATCAAAACTCGTGGCCCATGGATCAAAACTCGTGGCCTTTGGATCAAAACTCGTGGCCTTTGGATAAAACTCGTGGCCTTTGGATCAAAACTCGTGGCCTTTGGATCAAAACTCGTGGCCTTTGGATCAAAACTCGTGGCCTTTGGATAAAACTCGTGGCCTTTGGATCAAAACTCGTGGCCTTTGGATAAAACTCGTGGCCTTTGGATCAAAACTCGTGGGCTTTGGATCAAAACTCGTGGCCTTTGGACTTTTCCCAGTGTTTAGCGGCCGCGGGTTTAGGGGTCCCTAGGGTTTAGCGCCTAGGGTTTAGGCCCTAGGGTTTAGGGCTTAGGGTTTGGGCGCTAGGGTTTAGGGCCTCGGGTTTAGGGCCTAGGGCTTGGGACCTAGGGTTTAGGGCCTAGGGTTTGGGCCTTAGGGTTTAGGCTGTCGGGGTTTAGGCTGTAGCGTTTAGGGCCTAGGGTTTAGGGCCTGGGGTTGGGCCGTAGGGTTTAGGGCCTAGGGTTTGGGCACGAGGGTTTAGGGCTTAGGGTTTGGGCGGGCCCTGGGGTTTCGGGCCTTGGGTTTGGGCACTAGGGTTTAGGGCCTAGGGTTTGGGAATTAGGTTTGGGGTCTAGGGTTTAGCGCCTAGGGTTGGTTTAGGGCCTAGGGTTTGGGCGCCAGGGTTTAGGGCCTAGGGTTTGGGCGCTAGGGTTTAGACCTAGGGTTTAGGGCCTAGGGTTTGGGCCTTAGGGTTTAGGCTGTAGCGTTTAGGGCCTAGGGTTTAGGGCCTAGGGTTTGGGCACTAGGGTTTAGGGCCTAGGCATTAGGGTTTAGGGCCTAGGGTTTGGGAACTAGGGTTTAGATATCGTCCTGCTACAGTCGATGCATAGCAGTAGACAAAACATTTAGGACATGAAATCAACTCCACGGCTGTGGCTGCTATAACAAACACGAACCGTATGAAAATTCTTGGAGTTGTATGTAAGTTATTATTTAATAATTCATGCCAAAAGAAATAAAACTTTTAATTCTAGTGTGAGGGGATGCTCTGGGCGGGTGGGGTTTCTTCTTGAAGATAGCTTGACTAAAATAAGCTTGACGTGAAATCTTCAAAGTCAGAGCTGCTGAACCCTAAACCCTAAACCCTAAACCCCTAAACCCCTAAACCCTAAACCCTAAACCCTAAACCCCTAAACCCTAAACCCCTAAACCCTAAACCCTAAACCCTAAACCCCTAAACCCCTAAACCCTAAACCCTAAACCCCTAAACCCTAAACCCTAAACCCTAAACCCCTAAACCCTAAACCCTAAACCCTAAACCCCTAAACCCTAAACCCTAGATGTGAAACTTGATGGTACTGTCATGCTTGGCAGCATCTTCCCTTTCGAATACTTTATCGTATGACTTGTCTCGCCGTACCCTGTATGTAAAGTGCTGATCCCGAACCCCTCTCTCGATGCAGGTTTCCGAAGGCATCTGCGCGTCAAGCGAAAAGCGGCGCACCGTTGGTGCGAAGGCAGGGTCGGGAGTGCTGTAGTGCCCCTAGTTTGAGCCTCCCGTACATTCAGTCTCACATTGGTAGCGGAGCTAGTTAGATCCTTCGTGCCATGCCGAACCATGCTAGCTACGGACCGAACGACGGCCCGACCATGAGTGCTACTACCACCCCTGACGGCGATGCCGCTGTGAGGGGCGATGATGAGTTTGATGATGTGGGAGGCGATGTGATAGAGCTTCCTGCCGGTGATGATCAGTGGAATGACTCCTCTTGGAGTCGCTGGGGAGATCGTGAGTCTCAGTCGTGGGGGAGCGACCGAGCACAGTACGGTCAGCGATGGGACACTGACGCGAGCATCGGCTGGGGACGGCGCGCTAGCTGGGATGCGACGACTGCTACGACCGGTGCGGCCGCTGACCGCTGGAGCAACTCCAGCGAGGACCCCTGGTCACACGGTCGTGACCCTTGGACAGGAGCACGAGACGATGATTGGCAAGCACGCGACCACGGATGGCCGGGAGCTCAAGGAGATACCTGGGCGGATGGTCGAGTCGGCCGTTTCCAAGAGGGCGATCATGTTGACCGAGGATCCGGAGCATGGGGCGAAGGGCGAGTCTTCGAAGAAAAGGGGCTCGCTTGGAATGGCTGGTCCCACTACGACAACGGCGGCTTCCAAGGTCATCGAGGCGATCATGGAGGCTACTCAGGCGGAGGAAGAGCTTCGGAGAAGCTGGCGATTCCTACCTTTACCGGCGAGGACACTGAGGATGTCGGTGGGTCCGCAAGGAGCTATCTTCGCCAAATCGAGGCGTGGAGACGCATGACGCTTCTCCCTGCCTCTCAGCAGGGACTCGTCCTCTACCAGAACCTGGGCGGCAAAGCGTGGATTGCGGCCGAAGAACTTTCGGTCCCTCGCCTGGGATCGAGCGATGGGGTGAGCTACTTCGTCGCGTGGATCAACGCGAGGTTCCTCGACCTGGAGGTGGCCCGCATCGGCAAGGCGTTCTCGGACTTCTTTCGGCGCCTTAAGAGGCGGGCGGGGCAATCGATCAGGGAGTATAACACCGAATATGATCGTCTACACGCCAGGTTGCGAGAGGTCGGCTGCAGCATCCCCCAAGAATGTGCAGCATGGCTTTACATAGACCGTTTGCAGCTTGAAGAGGCCCAGGAGCTCAACTTGCTGGCGAGCGTCGGGAACGAGTACAACCTACATCGGCTACAGCAGGCAGCGGTGCTACATGATCGAGGGCACCGGAAACCCTGGGAGAATGGCAGGGCGCGCAAGCCCCACACCGCCCACTTCACTGCGGGCGGAGACGGCGGTTCTGGCGATGAGGACCTCGGCCCGACCGAGGACATAGAGCTTGAAGACGGAGTCCCAGAGGACGTGGCGGTGGCCTACGCGACCTACCAGAGCGCCAAGGAGAAGTACAAGGAACAGACCAAAGCGAGAGGCTACCAAGGCGACCGGGGGCCGCCTACCGCGAAGGACGGGAACGCCCGCAAGAGCGAGCTCAGTCGCGAGGAAAAGGTGAAGTTGATGAAGGCCAGGTCGTTTTGCGGGAGTTGTGGGAAGAAGGGCCATTGGCATCGGGACCCGGTGTGCCCCAACTATGCTACATCGGCCCAGGGCGCTGCCAAGACTGCGCCGAAGGAGGTCGAGATGTGCCACCATGTTCCCGCTGAGGTTTTCTCTTTGAAGCACGACGGGGCCGCGCTCTTGGGCATCACTGACACGGCGTGTGCTAAGGCCGTGGCCGGGACCATGTGGCTCCAGCAGTATAGCGACGCCTTGAAGCTCATCGGCCAGAGCCCCGAGCTGATTCGAGAATCCGAGGCTTTCAGATTTGGGACTGGGAAGGTGCACCACTCGTCGTTCCATGTGCTCATCCGTTTTCGCCTCGGGAACAGGACCGTCGAGATGAAGACCTCCATCATCAACGGTGACGTGCCTCTTTTGATGTCGAAGCCAGCCCTAGCACAGTTGGGGATGGTTTATGATGTTGCCGAGAACCGGGCCGACTTCACGAAAGTTGGCCTCCGGAACTTTGATTTGGTGACCACCTCTTCCGGTCACCCCGCTATCCCGATTATCCCGGCGAAGCCGGAGCACGGAGCTGAAAGGCTTATTGTCGGAGAGACTTGCACCTCGGGCAGCTCGCAATATATGGCTTTTGCATTGTCGCGAGTAGCAGCTGTCAGGTTCTCCCCGAACGAGTTCACAACGACGGACCCCGAGGAAACCCCAACCGAACCCAAGGGCATAACCGAAAGTACTACCTCAACGACATCGACTACCAAGGCCCCTCCGTACAGGATTTTCTATGATAAGAAACTCAGCCCCGAAGTCAAGGAGCTCCTCACACATGATCAACTCTGCAGTGTGTCCTTTATGACATGGTGGGAGAAGACCAAGATCAATTCTGACTTCTGGTTGGAAGGGGAGCACAACTGGTTTCGTGTGCATGTTATTCCTCGAAGAGCCCTGTGTAACCCCTCAACATGGAAAACCCAGTATACCGTGCAGAAGGGCATGCTCCTGCAGTCGATCGGGGATCTTCGTGTCACCGAGGGCTTCTGTTGTAGGTCAGGAAAGCCGCTTGAGACCGCAGTCGATCAGTGGAAGTGCAATCGTGATGAAAGCTCCTTCCCGCTGCTCTGGGTTGGCAGAACCTCTTTCGCGAAAGTGCGATCTAGCTCGACGCCCCTTCCCTCGTCGCCTTCGTTCGGAGATGGCATGCAGCAAGCCGCCGGCGATTTCGAAGATGACCAAGGTCGAGCTCCTCAGCGAGTGCAACCGGGTGGGCTTGGTGGTCCATCGCAATTGGACTTGCGAAGAGATCAAGGCTACGATCATGGAGCACCGCATGAACGACCCGCAGCAACAACAGGCCTCGGTGATGAAGTCGGTCACCAGCCTTACGCTGGCGGAGCTCAAGGAGAAGGCCGACCAGCTGGGAGTTCAGTATCCCAGCCAGGTGACGAAGGGCAACCTCATCCGGCTCATCAGGGACTCCACGAAGACGCCCGGCACGGAGCTGATGAAGATCGGCAAGTTCAAGGGCTACGAGTACCAAGAGGTGCCGAGGTCCTACGGCATGTGGGCAGCGCGCGAGATTCGGATGAGTCCGAACCCACATGTGGAACTTGTTCGATTTGCCCAGTGGTGGGAGGCGAAGGAGTACGAGACCCACTACGGCGACCGGGGCACGATCGAGGAGAACGCGACGGTCCCGTACCCCCTGGACACCAGCAGTGTGGCGGCGTCTTCGGGACAGGCTGGGACGTGGTGACCGAGGGCCGCTCACACGTGGAGAACCGCGACCTGACGATCCCCGCGAGCAAGGATCTACCACACGACCCGAGGAACTCGAAGCGCGGGAACCCCTACGGCGACCTCCCGGAGATGGAGGCGGAGACGGACCCCGCGACCCTCGAGGAAATCCGTGCCCTGGAAACCAGGCTGGCGGTGCTGAAGCAGAAAGCGAAGGCGAGCTCCGCACCGCCCAAGGCCGGGAAGTGAGCGACGGGAGCCGCTCCTTTGGTGGGGAGCTCGCCCCTGCCAAGGAGGAAGCCACAAGCGAGCACACGACAAAGCACTACGAGCGAGAAGGTCGGCGCCAGCGACTACATGAAGGAGAATGCCAAGGGCACGACCGACCTGATCGTCCACTACCTCATGAAAAAGGACACGTCTTTCGACTTCGGCAGGATCTTGATGATCTTCGTGAAGACCGACAAGGACAATATGAGCACGGCGGCGACCATTTTGGCGGTAAGACCACCGAGCACAGGAATGGATGCTGCGGGGCCGACTATCACGCCGGCCTGCACGGGATCTTCGTGTCCAATGAGGAGTTCGAGCGCGGCATTGTCGACAGCACGGTAAACTTTGCCTGCCAGACCGCGACCAAGCAGCACCGCGACGAGTTCACGGCAGCCCTCCTCAACAAGGACTTCGACTTCCACACCCTCGGCAAGCTCTTGGACACCCTCGACTACGACCCCGTTAAGGCGACAAGGGACGGTGTCTTTGGCGGAAAGACCGGCGATAAAGTCAACTACTTCACCTACGGGATGTTCACCCACGGCGGCGTGGTTGGAACTACGACCAAGACCCGGGAGCACGACAACGTCGCCCGCTACTTGAACGGTTTCGCCCGGCACCACCTTGGTGACAAGGCCACCTGGTCTTCGGTGAGTTTGTCGCGCAACACCGGGACCGAGGTGCACCACGACTTCAACAACCTCAAGGGCACGGCGAACTTCACCGTTTCGCTTGGACAAACAAAAGGGGGCGGCTTGTGGATCGAGGACAGGTCGGTGACCGAGAACGACACCTACGGCGTCAAATGGAGGAGGACCGGAACTGGACAATGGCTGCCCGGGAGGATCTACGATACCAAGAACAAGTTTGTTGAGTTTGATCCCTTCCTCAAACATGGCACGGAAGCATGGAGTGGGAACAGATGGTCCGTTACCTACCACACCACCCGCAACCTCTACAAGGCCGGCGACGAGATGAAGAAGTTCTTGCGAAAATGCGGGTTTCCGTTGCCAAAGGGGACCGGGCGTTCTACTGGAGAGGCCAAGCTCGGCAACAAGCCGAGGGCGAGTGTACGGCGGAGCATCTTCAACAATGCGGCCCGGATCAGCGTGATGATGGCGACCCTCATATCCGCAGCCGGGAACTACCTCGCCGAGCACGTCCATCCACAGGTCCAGCGGAACCCGGTCGTGCTCTTCGAGATCGGTGACACGGAGAGTACTCAGCAGGCAGCCGAGCTTGGCAAGGATGTTTTCGAGCCGATGACATGGGAGCGTTACCGCTCCCCTGAAGGAAAGACCGACGCCTTCCACATCGTGAACGGTGGGACTCCGAGAGAGCTGCGACTTCACTTGGATGGGAAGTCCACCGAGTGCGACGAAGCCATCCTCGAGCTCATGAAGCAACAGGTCAACGATGGAGGGACCGTGGTGCTCAGCGGGAAGCCCGGCGACACACTGTTTGAGCACATCGACAAGGACCCTGGTTTGCTAGGTTGCAAGCAGCATGGCTACGAGGATGGGCTCAAGGTCTTCATGGTCTTCTTTAAGGACAAGGAGACCACTCAGCGCGTCAAGGGTCCCGGGCGGGTTCATGAAGTGAAAGTGGTCTCGTCCGAGGAGCCGGGCCAGGACAATGAAGCACTGGCTATGGGAGCGACGGGAATATCCTTTGGCAAGGACACGCCGAGACCGGTGGCCACAGCTCTCCGTCGTCTTCACCAGAACCTGGGACATCCCCGACAAGAGGACCTTATCCGCCATTTGCGTTTGGCGGGATGTGACCAGTCTGTCCTGAAGGCAGCTAGGTCAATGCGGTGCCAGGTCTGTGAAGCCAACGCGGCCCCGAAGATAGCGCGACCGAGCACTATTCCACCCATGGCCGACTTCAACGACACGCTGGGCCTCGACCTGTTCTTCTGCCACGACACGGACGACGTCAAGCACGCCTTCCTCTCCGTGGTCCATTACGGGACCACCTACCATACCGTGGTGAAGCTCGATGGCCAATCCGGCGAAGACATCGAGGCTAAGTTCAATGAGATGTGGCTCATCCCGTTCGGGCCCCCGAAAGCCGTCGTCATCGATCTGGAGGGCGGCTTGCAATCGGCGCTTGGGCGTGTTTGCGACTGGCATGGAATCGGAGTTCGGAGCGTAGCGACCCAAAGCCACTGGCAGGCTGGAGTTGTTGAACGGCAACAGGCCTGGTGGAAGCACATCTGGCAGAAGATCAGCTACCAGCTCTCCATCGGCGAGGACGAAGTGAATGTGGCGGTGCCGATTATCAGCTCCGCCAAGAACGACCTTCGCAGAAGGTGTGGATACAGTCCATCGCAATGGGTCTTTGGAAAGGCCCCGAGGGTCCCCGAAGATCTCCAGGACCCTGATGGCGGTGGGCACGTTATGTGGGACGTCAGCGAGGACGCCAAGTACCAGAGGCAGTCGGCCATGAGAGCAGCTGCCCGCGTCGCCTTCCACGAGAGCCAGACCGACGGCCGCCTGCGCAAGGCCCTCCTACAAAGGACCCGTGTTGCGGCACGCCCTCTCGATGTTGGGGAGAGCGTGCACTTCTGGCACAAGCCGAAGAACAGGCGACAAGGATGCTGGAGTGGCCCTGCAGTCATCGTCGGCAAGGAAGGCGGCAATTACTGGATTTCTAAAGGGGGCCGGTGTCGACTCACCTCAGCCGAACACCTCCGTCCCACTACAGGAGAGGAGGTTGGAGCTTTGCTGGCGATGAAGGGGACCCAGAAAGAAGCAGAGATGCTTCTTAACCACGACCCCGACGGAGACGAGGCCTTTGAAGAAGACTTAGAGGAGCTCATGCGCGACATCGACGAAGAGATGAGCTGGGCCGGTGACGAAGCCGACCAACCTGTTGACGACTTGGAGATGGAAGGGGACCTGGAGCTGGAACCCCTACGTGAACAAGATGCCGCGCCGGTCCCGAAGCGCAGGTTGAAGAGGAAGACTACGGCAGCCGAGCTCAACCCAGACCGCCACGAGGCGATGATGCTCAAGACCCACTTGACTACTCGTGGCCTCGAGAAGCGCAAAGAGAAGGAGCTCAAGTGGTCGGAAATTCCGGCCGAGGTCCACGAGAAGTTCCGCGAGGCAGAGGCGACCCAGTGGAACGAGCATTTGTCTTTTGATGCTCTACAGCCGCTGTCGGTGGCGGAGAGTGATCGAGTCCGCCGGGAAGTCCCGGCAGAGCGAATTCTGAGGAGCAGGTGGGCCTACAAGGACAAAAACTGGGCTCGCAGACGCGAAGGGGAGGACGTACCTTGGAAGTGCAAATCCCGACTTGTGATCGCCGGGCACACCGACCCGGACCTCACCGACGAGAACCTCAGGCTGAACACGGACGCCCCTACATTGTCCAGGAGCGGGCTCGCCTGCATGCTCCAAAGGACCGCGGACGGCCTCGTGGAAGATGACCCCTGGACACTGGCCGCAGGAGATATAAGGTGTGCGTTTCTCACCGGAAGCTACCTCTCCCGGGAACTGTACATGCACCAGCCAAAGACCGGGTTTCCTGGACTGCTTCCAGGACAACTGGTGAAGATCCAAAAGAATGTCTTCGGCCTGGCCACCAGTCCTCACACCTGGTGGCAGGACTTGCAGAATGGGATCAACGAGGTCGAGATCAAGATCCCCGAGGACACCGACGCCTACCGCTTCGAGCCCTCAGCCATGGACCCGTGCGTCTTTGCTCTGCGCAAGTGGGACGGAGAAAAGTTCTACGGCATCCCTGTTGCTTACTTGGGATGTCATGTGGATGACCTGCTGATCGCCGGGCCAAGGAAGCTCCAGCAGATCATTCAGCAGGCGCTCGCCGGAAAGTTCGAGATACAGACCTGGGAGGCCGATGACTTCGAGTTCCTGGGTTCGAGGATCGTGGTCGCCACCGACCGCATCAAGATGACCCAGGAAAAGTACGCGGAGACTCGCCTCTTCACCATCGAGGTCCCCGCCGGCATCGACGACAGCGAGGCCGCTCCGCAAGAGTTGTCTAGTGACAACCGCAGCCTGATAGGCGCTCTTTCCTGGATGAGTGCTCAGACTCGCCCTGACTTGACGTGCTCCGTCAGTATGGCGCAGCAGTTGCAGAAGGCCCCCACCTATGGAGACATCAAGTTCACCAACGCCATCGCGACGAAGGCCTACCAGTACCGCGAGCGAGGACTTGAGTTCAAGCCGATTCCAAAGGGGAACCTGATGATCCTCGTCTTCCACGATGCGGCTTGGGCGAACGTCCCGGAGGCAGACCCCGAGGAGGACTACTACGTGCTCACCCAGCAGGAGAACATCGATGGCCTCCAGACCGAGGGGCCATATGCGAACGGCTGTGTGAGAAAGGCGAAGAAAGGGAACTCCAAGGTCGCGTCGCAGCTTGGAATCCTGGTGATGTTCGCAGACAGGGCGGCCCTCGCTGGACAGGCCGGGAACGCCAATGTGGCGGACTGGAAGTCTCGAGCGGGACAAAGGGTTTGCAGGAGCACCTTCGGCGCGGAGACCCAAGCTTGCGCTGAGGGACTTGAGACGGGGCAGTATGTGAGGTCTATGTACGAGACCTTGCTGAAAGGGGTCATGACGGCCGTGGACGCTGCTGAGCTGCCCATCCTCTGCCTGAGCGACTGCAGGTCGTTATACGACCATTTGAACAAGCAAGGCATCCCAAGGGTGCCTAGCGACAAAAGGTTAGCTGTGGACCTAGCCGCTTTGCGACAAGGGCTGCGCTCCGAGAAGTGGAACGACAGCCTGCCAATCGCATGGATCCCAGGAGCGCTCCAAAAGGGAGACGTCCTCACTAAGCCCCAGAACCCATCTGACTGGTGGGACAGCATTTCAACAAAGCTTCTTTTGCCTCTTGCCATAGGGCAAGAGGGGGTTCTGATCAGCAACAGGACGGTGAGACAGAGAACCAGTGTGAAACTTGATGGTACTGTCATGCTTGGCAGCATCTTCCCTTTCGAATACTTTATCGTATGACTTGTCTCGCCGTACCCTGTATGTAAAGTGCTGATCCCGAACCCCTCTCTCGATGCAGGTTTCCGAAGGCATCTGCGCGTCAAGCGAAAAGCGGCGCACCGTTGGTGCGAAGGCAGGGTCGGGAGTGCTGTAGTGCCCCTAGTTTGAGCCTCCCGTACATTCAGTCTCACACTAAACCCTAAACCCTAAACCCCTAAACCCTAAACCCTAAACCCCTAAGAGCTTCAGTGAAGCCCAGAGGGCCTTCTGCTCGGAACAGAAGAGCGCATAACCGGATTTCACCGGCCTCAATAGCTGGGAGTTTCCGTTTCCGAATTTGGGGGACCTAATATAGTCCCCTAAATAGTAGGATCCTCATTATAAGGACCCAAAATAAGACATAACCCAGAAGGTCCATATATACTACCTTTATGGAATTGAGTCCCAAAAGACTATGGTTTAATAATTTTGGGGGATCTACTTCCATGTTTGTAGTGTATTTCAGACCCTCGGGGTTATATGGGCCTTAAAAAGTAGACTTTGAGTGTGTGTGGGCTTGTGCTAAATTAATTACCTACTTTGGTTATGTCAGAGGGGACTAATTTTGTTTGAATCATTCGGGCTCCTATTACCCTATGTTATGGTGCCTCCGACTCCCCAAGATGCATTGACGACCCTATGGTCCGAACCAGTGGGTATTCGAGCCCTAGGCGATCTTGAAAGAGGCCCGGGCATACTATCATGAAGAAAAATGCAAGTAATGTCATGATAGGAATGGTCCTGAAGCGCGACAACCCGTGCATGACAAAGCCCCGTGTCCAGACGCTACAATGTCATTCGAAGCCCCTAACATCCCGAACCCGAAGAATCCCGAGCCGGTTCAAGCTGTCGAAACGAGCTTGGCGCTGCTTGGGGAATCCAGGAGGAGGCTTTGGTACCTGCCTTGCGTGCAGGCTCCCAAACCCCAAACTCGAAAGCTCGGCAGGGTAATCTTCAGGTCAGAGTACGCACTATAGGGTCTTACAAAGCTCTATACAGGCTTAGATTAGCTCTATAAAGGCTTACATATATTGCAGGGTATTACAGGGTTTTGCAGACGTTGCAGCGGTTGTTGAATGGTTCAGGGCCGGGCGCTTCTCTGTTGAAGATGTACTTTGGACCTCGTGGGTGGACATTTGGATGACGGGTCTCTATGGAGTAGTGTAGCAGACATCATGATTAGAATAGGGCTTACGGGCACAGCGTGACTATGTTGGGTTCCAGGGTTTAGGCTTCACGCGAACATTGCTACGATGATTCTCATTGTGATTATTGCCACTCATGTCTTTCTTGCTCTTATTGAGTATGCAGATGTGTATCCCCAAGAGTCCAAAGGACCCAATATTAGGTGCGCGGTTTTAGGATAATGGTTATGTAGGTTAGGATTTTGGAGAGTATTGGATTATCAGGTATACTTGGGCCCTTGGGGTATAGAAGTCCAACAGGTGCGGACATTAGAGCAGTAAGAGCTTCAACGAAGGTCAAAGAGCCATGCAGAGCCTTGTATATAGTTCCGGCCATCAATTAAGCCTTACCTATAGTCTCCATTGTCGTGCCTCTTTTGGTCTAACACAATTCATATTGAGGATCCAAAAAAGCTTCAACACCCACGCCCTTGATCTCTAGACGTCTAAACCCCAAACCCTAAACCCCTGAACCCCAAACCCCTGAACCCCAAACCCCTGAACCCTAAACCCTAAACCCCCTAGGCCCTAAACCCTAAACCCCAGGCCGGCATCGAAACGAGCCGGCCTTCTTTGGCGCTTCGGCTTGCTTTCGGTACTTGTGATTGCCACTCCTGCGAATCCTGCGAGTTGGGCAGGCTTATGAAGGTTAGGGTTCAGGGTTTATGGGTTTAGGGTTTATAGGGTTTGTGGTTTTTCGGGGTTTAGGGTTGAGGGTTTGGGGTTTATGGTTGAAGGTTTGGGGTTTAGGGTTTAGGGCTTTGGGCGACACGGCGTCGGGGAGAGGGCCGTTGGGTTGTAGGCTTATAGGGGTTATAGGCTGTGGGATTGCGAGATGTTACCACCTTGCCAGTCCTTCTATCACCCCGGCTCACTGCAGGTTGCTGGACCCAACTTCCTGACGAACTACTATTCGGTGTTGGTTTAATACTAACAGAGATGAGTAGCAGCGAAGCTTAGACTTGACTTTTGTCAACCGCGTTACGACGTTGTCCATGCGAACTACATATATACCCTAAGGCTCCAAAGTAGTTCCTTTTTGGGGTTCATATATAGAATCCTATAAGGTAATCCCAAAAAGGAACTACTATGGAGCCTCTGGGTAGGTACGTTGTTTCCGTGTGTACCCTTTGGCATCCTGATGACTGAGTGCATATAATATACTAGGATACCCAGTAACCTAAGAATAAAAAGGCCTCTCTTTTTGGTATTGGGTAACTTTATAAGGAACCTAGGACTACAAAAAGGGAATAAGGGTACTACTGGGCATCCTAGTATACTTCCTTAGCCCCACACAAAGTCCTCGTACCCCAGAATCACACCCACAACCCACCCACCCGAAACCGCAACGATCGCCCATTCCTCAAGCTTATATCCGAAATCCTTACATCCAAATCTGTCCTTGCATCCCAAATCTTCCAATGTAGAATTTGGAGTCGGCGACTAGGAGGTTAATATGACAGACTTTACGGCTCTAGCAAGGTTGACAGTTTGCTAGGCTAACGCAGGGGTCTCGGTCCGGAGAATAAAGTTCAACCTGACTCTGCCCCTCCCCCGAAGGTCTCGCGAGCGTATTCTCCAGAGTGGCACGCCGCTTGTCCAGCAGCACCTGGAGTCATCGGGAGTTTCTCAGAACCCTAAAACCCTAAACCCCTTAACCCTAAACCCAGAGTCATCGGGAGTTTCTCAGTAATGCGTACCAAAACCCTCAGCTAAGTTAAACCCTGAACCCTACCCCCGGGGCTCCAATATTGCGTGCAGCTGCGCGCCAGGGTGGATACAGTTGGCAGGCGCGGGAAACCCGCCCACACAGTACTTCCTTGCAGGTTCGACTCACATGTTTCTTGTTGGACTTCCCGGACTTCCTTTACGAGAAGGTTGAGCGCTACCTCTTGGAAAAGTTGCCTCAGCGAGGGGCAAGCGGGCATCAGAGAAGCTGGTTAACGATCCCGGTCCCCTTAGGGGACTGCTGACTTAGGTTGTGGCCCTCTTGGGGCCTTTTGGGGTGCGTTGCCGCTCCGCAGCTGCCGAGCGTCGACATTGCAGAGAAAAAGAGAAAGAGAAAGGGTTATGCCCTCAAAAAAAAGGGTCATAGCCTACTACTTCGTAGGGTTGGCACGGCCACAGAGACACACAAATTGCACCGTCAGCTTCCTGCTGGATCATCAGGGACCCAGGACCGCTCGCTTCAGCTTGGCTGCAATCTCGCAACCGCCGAAGTGGTCGCGAAACGCCGGTTGCTACGCGCTGTCTCGCACACAATGCCAGAGGCTCCATATATAGTACCATTATGGAAGTCCCGAAAGACCATCGATATAAGGCTTTGGGAACCTAATTCCCTAATGATACTATATATGGAGCCTCTAGGCATCTTCCAAGCTGTTGTGCGGCTTATGCAGCATCGGAATTCTCTACGTGACTGCAGAATCACGAGGCCAGGTTCTCTGCTGGAGCTCTGTTGCTCTTGCGGAGGCTGCAAGGTCTCTTGCCGTAGAGGTAAACACTAAACCGTGTAATGTTGAGGGCTTTGCCCTCAGGGTCCAAGCACCTATTTATCATGTACTCTCCCAAATAGTACATAACTACTATCTCAAGCAGACAGATCAAACACTGGACGAGTGGCGCAGCTCTGATATGCAGATAAGTCAGCCATGGAGGGCACCAGAGCTTGTGTAGTCCGAACAAGTAACAGTTGCACTTGGCATGTTGCTGTTGGGACTCATTGCCAGGTCTGGCTGGCTGATTGTCATCTGTAATCATCCGGACCCAACCAGGTGTGGAGGGATGCCGTCGGTACCCGCTCAGAAGTGCCTGGTACTTGGAGGGTCGGGGGACTTAGTACGTAGATAATAAATAGAGTTGTAAGTACCCTAAAAGGGACCCTAATTGGGGTTATGGTACTTATAACTCTCTAAAATAAATACTTAGTAAGTCCGCCGACCCTCCAAGTAATCTTGAGAGTGCACTCGTTCAGCCTAGCTAGCAGTGTAGCTTCTGCCGGGCAAACGCCTGCTCTCTGACAGCGGTCGCAAGGCGTCCCACTTACCAGGACGCTGCGAGTTGAATGAATGAATGAACATAACTACCATCCTAAAACCGAATACCTAATTATTGAGGTCCTTTGGACCCTGACTTTAAGGATCTAGGATTCGAAGTATAGGAGAGTCCTTAAAGACCCTGACACTCCCAGGATCCTCAGAAACCAAGAGATTCCAGAGCCTGCCAAGGAGATTCTTGTACGAGCCTTGAGGTTTGGGTATATGGTCTCTACAGGGTTGCAAAAAAGGCCTGTGTAAACCATCAGTGGGCTATGTTGTACTATAATTCCAGTAGGGAACCCTTCAGGAAAACGATGAATGTTGCCAAGGCTTCTACATTACGGGGATCTGGGGTTGGGCCTGGCCTTTACGGGTTCAGGACGACCTGAAATGTCAGGCCAATTCCCAGAGATTCCTATATCCCTTAATCAAGGAATATACCTGAAATGATACTAGGGATCCTACTATCATTGAAATTGTATTCCTCAATTCAGGGGTATTGGAGTCTCGGGGTTTAGGCTTTAGGGCGGGAGCTTAGGGGATCATGTTCTGCGGCATCTTTGGGGCTGTTGAAGTTATACGAATTTGGTGAAATTCGCATCAGTTGTAGATACGGTTGATATAGATGGCAGGCTTTTCCTGGATTGGAATACGGCTTGTAAAAGAAAACTGAATGTACGATTATGGTTGTGAAGAGGGTCAATGGACACACTGAGAGTCCGCTAGATACGGTCTTCGGGTATCCCGTGGGTACGAAACC